GCTGGAGGCTACTCTGGAGCTTCTGCCATCCCGCGGCGCGGCTGCTGGCAACACCTGACAACGGCGGCGATGGAGGCGGTTGGGAACAGCTGCAGCAATGGTGATGGTGGTGATGGCGACATGGCGGTTTGGGACTTAATCTCAGCGCGGCCGCCGCCCAGGCGCCGCTGCGCCCGGCTGCTCAGCCACCTACCGGATGGCGGGGTGGCCCTTACGGCTCTCACGCCCGTTCGGTCTGTGGCCACGTTCTGGGGTGGCGGTCGCGGGGTTAGCGGCGTTGGACTTCGTCCTTTATCCACACTGCACCGTACCATCTGGACGGATGGATCTGCCAAGAAAGATGACATCCAAGGTGGCTATGAGGCGATCACAAAGCTTCACCAAGAGCTTCTCCTTCATGGGGCCGGCCGGCCGTTAAGTCGCAACACAGGCTGCCGAGTGCCAACAGCTGCGTGCTCTGGCGCCGACGCGTTGTGGGCCGCGCTGCTGACGCCCAAGCTGCGATATCAACCATCTATGAATAAGTGGCAGCGGTGGCGGCTTGTCTGTTGTTAACGTGTCTTTGCAGACGTTGTGAATAGCCCGCGTTGGAATCGCATGGTTTGCAACACCACGCAAGTTAACCCTCGCCCATGTAGGGGGGGGGGTTGGTGCAACCCCCCCCCCCCTGAGGCTTTTCGGAAATAGTGCAAAAACGGCGCCGCCAAATTTTGGGTACCTTATGGGGCAAACCTTGCGCATCTTTTGCTAAAAAAAAAATTGACCGGGTCATGTCAGGTCACGGAGTTATGACGTCACAAAGGGAACAGCCTCCGGCCAGATTTTCACAAACTGAGTGCCAACGCCCGAGGTTTCCTGCCGGTGGTACGAACATCGGTTGATGGATCGTGATGAAACTTCCCATCCATGTTGGGGCAAGTATTGGCTATCATATGGTATAAGAAACTTGACCGGGTCAGGTCAGGTCAGGGAGCTATGACGTCACAAGAGGAACAGCGTCCGGTACTATTTTTGAAAAGCGCCCGAACCACTATTTTGCTAATTCTTGTCACCTCAATGGGAATATGCAGCAATATTAGCTTCTATAGGGAGCAAATGAACCTCCCAAATCCAAAAATACAATCAGATTTCAAAAATTTAAATTTTGATTTTTTCGAATTTCTGCCGCCGACTGTGACCTTGCCGACTTCCGGCGCTCCCAAGGCGCCATTTTTAGAGCTAGGGAAACGAAATACATACCAAACGATAGAGAATTGAACAAGGAACACGATAGTGAAGGCCACCGTTTGGCCGCAATCGCCGCCGAAAGTTGAAAAAGGTCTATTTTTCCGAAAATATGACCTTTGACCGGTCAAAAGTAGGTCAAATATTGACCTAGGACCAAAAAATATACCACCAATCGCGAGATCTCGGCGAGAGCAATCCGTTGGTCTTTTCCGCTAAGCTCTACGACGCTCCGTTTTCAAACGCCAAGGGGGGGTCGCACCAACCCTTCCCCCCCTGCATGGGCGAAGGTGGCAGATCGCCGTTTACGGGCGGGGGTTAAAATGGGCTTCCTTGATGAACCTACTTTTTAAGCATTGTAGCCTTTGTAATTTTGGATGTTTTGCCGTAGGTATTATTTATTTTCTACATATATACTATAGGCACTCACGTGCTTTAAATCGCGCAATGCAATTGAACCATGGTAAAGACAATGAAAAATGAACTGAGAGCTGACATGCCCCATGCTTTGTGTGTGTGTGTGTGTTTTTTTTTTTTTGGCGAGTCGATAAAAGTGGTTTTGGACACTGGATAAGTTTTTAGGGGTGTGTTGAGGGGGATGTAATTTCACAGACCTTTTGTCAGATTCACTAATGCAGTAGGTCTGTGCGGTATTTAGTTATCGGAGCATTCTTTGAAAGTCGTGAATAGGGCCACTGAGTACCTATAGCCGTGATATTCCCCCACAAAAAAACTTCTTTTGAATAACCGGGGATAGGTACATGAGCCGAGTAAATGCTATTACGAACGCCTATCACAATACTGAGCGAATAGGAAAATCAATAGATGGAGAATTGTGCCGCGTTACGGGTGCTCGGGCGCAGCCAATCCACCGTTACCCCAGCGGTGACCTTGACCCGCATCGTCTGTCTCGGCTCCAAAGCCAAACCGGCGTGGAATTGGGAGCGCTCGAGCACTCATGGTCCAACGCAATTCTCCACATAAATCCATTCCTGATACACATTTGCTTGCTCATAGTCATGTAACCCCGGTAAATTCACCCAACTTTCATATTGGTCGCTCCATAGACAGATGGCCACAGAGATCAACTTAAAAGGCCATTGTTGCATTCATTTAGTGGAGATCATTAACCCTATTAGTGGCAGGCTCCTGGCTACCCCTATTAGTGGCAGGGGGGGGGGGCTGTTTACGCCCCCCCTTGATATCTCGAGATCTAATGGGCTGATTTTCAAAATTCAAACGGCATTCGATTTCGCTGAACGTGATCTACATTTCTAAAAAATAAACATTGAAAAATGTCAATAGGGGGATAGAGGGGGTAAAAACGGGCAAAATGCAGATACATTTTAGACTGTTTAGCACGGCCAGGTTTCTGAACCAATCTTAACCCGCGCCCCGTAGGGCTACCGGCGGACCCTACCACCCGTAGGGGGGGGGCGCTTCGGCCCCCCCCCCTAAGATCTTGGAAAGTTACCGGCCGATTTTCAAAATTCAAACGGCGTTCGATAGCCCCACCCGGGAACTACCTTGTGACCAAATTTCATTGACCTAGGTCAAACCGATGACGTCAAAGGTCAGGTCAAAGGTCAGATTTTCACCGTTCACAGGCATTTCAAGAAATGTGTTGTGAAATCGAGTAAATTGGTAATTTATTGAAAACCATCGATGGTACATTGTTCGTCAAACACATACTTTGCTATCTGAGGTCACTGATACCAGGTCAGGTCACAGTGAGGTCAGGTCACCGGGGGACATTATGAAAGTGTCGTGTGATACATGTTTTATGGTCTATTTTACATGACAAATGCGATTATGTGGGTTAGGTAGCCTTTGGGGCCAGCCTAGGTCACGTTTTGGTGAAGGTCAGGTCAAGGTCAGGTCAAATTAGGTCAAATTTCAAAGTTGATATTTTTGCATAAAATGGGTATCGATTCGATGCAGCTCGTCACGGGGAGTCCAATGGTGGTCTTTGTTTTGCTCTACGAGGTCTAGAATTGCCAAAAATTGAGTTTGAAAATTTGACGTCATCATTTTTGAACAGTTTTTTTTTCGCTAAAACTTGGCCAAAAAACGAGGTATCGATCTGAAATTTGGTATGTAGATAGAAGACGGTAGGTACTATCACATATATTCCGGTTTTTTTCGAAAATCAAAAAACTTTTTGGATTTTTCGGCTTATATATCCAAAAAATGCATTTTTGATTTTTGGGGGTCAAAACTCAAAAATTTCAAAAATCTGAGATAGCAGTTTTGTAGCCCTGTTAATTCTACACCTTTTGTGTCTTGATCATTTTTCTGTATCTTCAAAGCTGTAGGCCTGACAGGTCTTCTCGCGAAGGTCTTTTTTCGGTCGAAAATGACAGAACATGACGTCATTCTGACGTCATTTGTGGCCAACCTATCATAGCCTCTGGAAAATTTTTGGTCACAATGTGTAAAATCGATGCCCGGAGGGGTCCTGAAAGTTTGGTGGCGATATCTCCAGCCGTTTAGGAGATACCGACCGAAAAGGACAGGGGGGGGCCGTTTCGGCCCCCCTACGGGGCGCGGGTTAACGCAACTTTTGCCGATCGATAGAGAATGAACCAGGAATTCACATGGATCCTAAAAATATGCATTTTCAAAAATCATAGGCGGATACAGATCATTGAGATTGGGGGTACACAAAAAGTATAGTAAATAAGGTTTTTGTTGGTACTGTTTCTAAAAAGGGTGGTAATGATCTTGTTATGTTACAATTTTCTTATGAGAGAACGACTACAATTGTATTGCTCATGCATAGGCGATGTCAGGGCACCTATGTTGGGAGGTAAAACATAACCCCCCTTTTTGGACGCCTGGATCCGCCTATTATAGCAAAAACGTGTCAAAAGAGGATGCACAATAACTTTGTATATGTTATCACATGATACCTTTCATTCACTGTTCGTAAAACTGGTGCAGCATCGTGATCTTCGCCCAAATGACTCGCTTCACGAATAGGACCAAAATTTCAGCATCGTAGCTTCAGCGGTTTTGGAGATATTCCCGAAAAGCCTGAGGGGTGGATGAAAACAACCCCCCCCCCCTGCCACTGTCACGCACATCCAGGGCCAGTGAGTTCCAGCGTGCAACGGCGCGGCACCGGAAGAACCGCCGCGCCTGCTCGGTGCGGGGTTTCGGCAGCTGGAGCAGGTCGCTCTCAGTGGCACGAGTCTCCCTACTAGAGACGTCACTGCGGCGCTCGAGCCGCTCCGAGAGACACCTCGGCGCACTGGTATTGTTCACCAAGTAGTGAACAACACCGCAGTCACTCTCCGCCGCAAGCTCGTCTATCTGGGGCCACCCGAGCTCCTCCAACAGCGAAGTCACGTGAGCTGAGCCGTGAGCGGCGCGCTCCCATAACCACCTGTGTGCAGTGATTAATAACTCGCTGCACGTGGCGACGCTGAACAACGCCACAGCCCGACCAGTCCGACAAACAGTAGCGTGGGGAAGATCAGCATCTCAACGATCAGTTTCTTCACTTCTTTCGGTAAGCATCGCGAAGATTTACACAGTCCTCCTAGTGTGGTGTAGCATCGGCGAATCACCGCTGTCACATGTGACTCAAAGGTCAAGCCAGAGTCGACAATTACACCCAATACCTTAATGCTAGCGGAAGTTTGAATATTGTATGGTGAAAGCAAGTGACACATGAGCTACTGAAACAGTTTTTCTTCGTCTAGGGTTGAGCTGGAATTTGGTACAACGGAGAAGACGTAAAAATATGTTTAAATTATCCCACACTACCCTACCTTCTATAGATTGCCTTGACGGAGTCTCCTCGAGACAGATGAAACGTCCGATCGGTGCGGAGCCCCGTCGCCTTCTGCCTCAGTCCCCCGTCCGGGGTGACCCGAGCAGAGCTAGCTTACTGTCAGGACGGGGGTCCTCTAACCTGCGCGGCAGCTTGCTATTGGCCTGAAGCATTGCTTTATAAGGCGTGCACAGTTGCGATTGGTCGTCATCCCGTCGAATGATCGGGAATTATTCCAGCGATCACGCGTCACGTGGGCATGCATTGCACATCACGCGCTGGTCTCGTGGTGTTAAATAATGCATCCAGCTACTCAACGTTGCAAGGACATGAGACGACACTTAGCAAACAGCACACAGCAGGCGATCCAGGCGTTCTAGCGCTTCAGGGGCCAGATTGTAACATTGGAAAATGTAACTAGGTTCCATGGTTCATAAACCATGACCTAAACCTAAACCATGGTTCATTGTGTAGCCAGATATCCTAGCACGTCAAAATTGATACCATGTTTAGCATTGACCAAGGCATTTTCAAATAATATGCATCCAAGCGGATATCGGCGCCGCTTGGGTCACCAGCCGGACGATCATTGTTCTTATAGCGGGAGCCAATCTTTGTCAACTCAGTGTGTGTGACCCGTAAAATCACAACGAAGCAAAGTTCCGCTATAACCCTAAAACGCTCAAATAAAGGACCATGTGGCTAGAGAGCACATAACTTTTATTAGAATCCACTAGCGGATGCACTTGCAACCAGAACCATGGATGCATTCTGTTAGAGGGTGCAACTGATGTCTTTTTCGTATTCGTGCACGGGTTTCCGAATTTTAATAAGTTCAGTTATAATTCCTGAGAAGTTGTCTATCCCTGTGGGGTTAAGAATACTTATAATAGGCAAATGCGAGAGCTGCGAGTCTGGGAACTAGGAGCCAAGCAGAAATAATTTTGATGTAGTCTGTGAAATACGAGCATATGTGCGCCAACCTGTTTCCCCAGTTATGCAGTTAGCAATGCCGTCCTGTTTTTAAAGAGGCGTTTACGGTGAGGGTTGAACTTTAACCCGCGACCCGTTGGGGGGGGGGGGGCAAAGGGCCCCCTGTGGATTTTCGAAGATAACTCAGAAACCGCTGCGAATTTCGACTTGAAACTTTCAGTAGCTCTTCGGACATCAATTTTACACAACTCCTGAACAAATTAGGTCCCAGGTCATCTCAGGTCACGAGTTATAGAGGTCAAGCTGAGGTCATGATCGGCGATTTTTCGTCGAAAAAGTTGTTCACGGAGGAAAATCGTAGAAAATCATGGTTTCAACTTAGCGACTAAAAAATTGAACCGTAGGTATAAAAATGCATGACAAACAAAATGGCTATCTCGAAATTTCCAAACTATAAAAATCCGAGATCTAGGGATTTTCTAACTCAAAATTTAGATTTCTTGAGATATTTTTTTTCTTTTTAATTTGGGGAAATATTCAAAAACCGGGAACTCTTACTGGCCTTACACATACCAAAAATTAACAAAATAACTCTAAAACTGCCTGAGATATAGCCATTTAAATGACTGAAAAAGTAGCGACTGTTCTTATGACGTCACAACATTTTCGGTATTTGTGCTTGAAATCAGTCAGGAGAAATATTTATGATTCTTATCAACCTCTTGCTGGCTGAATATGATCCTTTACGTGACTAAAGTCACTTTTACGTAAACAATTGTTTTTCGTTGTAAGCCGGTACAATTTGACCTTATTTGACCTTTCTGTGACGTCATAGATCCAAGAAAAATGGTCAAGGAGGTTTTTGTGGATGCATACCGGGTGTCCCAAAAAAAAGTTTACCCAGACCATTCCTTCGCAGTTGTTGGTTTTTAATCTGATTCGAATAAAAATTGGCGTGTAAAAACATGGCAAACACGAAAAACATAATAGCGATCATTCAGGATATAAAACATCTTTGGGAAAACGTTTTGACAAAAGACATCCAATTTGGACACATTTCACAGCCGCTTCTCACAGTCTGTGGTTCAAACGGGACTCGATCATCATCGGACTAAAAATTATATCTATGGATCACATTTCAAAAGCACTTGAAACAAGAATAAATGACCAAAATGATTCCTGCAGGGGCTGAAATGAGTCACACAGCACTAAAAAAATGTCACCAATAAGGTCTCCTCATGGGAAGCTGGTCAGCTTAAAAATCAAATGTCGACTAGACGCCCTGCGTCCGCCTCAGGGCCTCAGTCCATGATATTCCTTAAGAAAGAAATTAAAAAAGGACTACGCCTATTATTCTTTGTTTAGTTGGGCTGGATGGGTAAAGGGTAATCGCTCAAATTGAGGGTCATACGGTAATTTGTTTCCATACGCTTGCATTGGTGCAGTGGACTGATAATCGGGTCTTCAAGGGGTCATGGCCCGCCTGCTACCCCTCACATTAGGACGATAATGTGAGGGACAAAAATCACCCTCACAAAAATCCCTCACCCGCACAAAAATCACGCAGCACTGAAGAACTGCGAAGTCATGACTGAAATTAGCCATATTTCACATTTCACAAGCAATGCAAAGCACCAGGATAGCGTGCATCTTCCCACACCGATGTGGCGCACGGGCTGTTATTTCGAGCACCTCCTCTGAGGAGAGTCGACTGAAGGTGGGAACTATGTTTGGTGTCATTAGTTTTGCCATGTCACGAGGAGTTGAATGGTGTGTCACTCGAGTTTGTCAAATGACCAATGCAGAAGTTATTGGCATTTAGCCGAGTAAACTTTTTATTGGGACGCATGGTATATATATACCTAGGTATGTATATATATATATATATATATATATATATATATATATATATATATATATATATATATATATATATATATATATATATATATATATATATTTATATATATGTAAACTTCTTACCCTCTGTGGAGCCATAACATGTCTTCATAAATACTCGAATATTCACAATTTAACCCTCGCATGTGTAGGGGGGTCGGATGGACCCCCATGGTTTTTCGCGAATAACTCGCGTAAAAAGCGGCCGATCGCGACGAAACTTTCAGTACCTTCGCATTGATCAATTTTACATCTACCCTGAAAATTTCATGACCCTGACCCAAATGACCTCTGACCTGTGACCTCTTTTCCGAGACCATGTTTGGCTGGAATCGCGATTTCGCGTATGTCGGCTCGCACTAGCCGCGTGTTTGCAAGCTTTTCGTGGTTTCAAACGTTCAAACATGTGATTTGATGTTACTCCCGTGTGTGTCAAGGTCACCTGAAGGTCAGGTCAGGTCATTGACCTTTGGTGACCTCGGGTGACCTCGGGTCACTTTTTCGAGTTTTACATGTTTCTAGGCTAGTTTTTGGAGCTGAATTCGAATTTAGCAACCATTTGAACATTTACGAAGTAGTTTTGGTGACTTCGTAACATGTTACGAAGCTGTCAGAGGTGGTTGACACGTACTACGAATACCCGTCACGACGCCTACTGGTTGACCTGACCTGACCTGACCCGACCTGGTCTAAATGCTTCAAGACATCATCTGTGATCAAAACTAACACGATATTCGTGATCAGCACCCCGAAAAACCCCTTAGCAGCCACACTTTACGACTTTCTAACAGGTCCCGATTTTCCCGACTTTGGGTCATTGACCTGACCTGGAAGGTCAACCAATGACCTAGGACCTTAAAATTGGGTATCATCGGCTTCCTCTCGTCACGGGCAGCACGCTCGTTTTTTCCGCGAAGCTCTAGCTCGATCAGGGGCCAAACGGCAAGGGGGGGGGGGTCCAACCGACCCCCCCCCTACACATTAGAAGCTGGCAAACGCCGCACACATGCGAGGGTTAACATGCCATTCCTTACGATTCACCTGTGTTTTCTGATTGGTCGAAAACTCATATTTCATTTTTATGACCGACTTTTCGTCATTGCAAATTAGACTGATTTGACCTTGTTTGACCTCCCTGTGACGTCACAGGTCAAATATCAAGGTCATCGACATCTTATATTGTGCATCCCGATGGGCTCTTTCGATTGCCGTTTGAATTTTCCGATCCGGCTATTGGTTCCAGAGATACGACGGGGGCCCTTTGCCCCCCCCCCCCCCACAGGACGTGGAACCTGCCAGACCTCAACGGGCCGCGGGTTAACCCGGCCGGGCCCGGGGGTAATCCCAACCACCGCAGCCCGGGGGCGTTTTTCGCCCTTCCCTTTATAACTCCGTAAATAAGAGAGCTACGCAAACAAAAGCGATTTCAAACGAAAGTTCCTTACGAGACGATTCCAAAGCACTCAAAATTTTTGAACGCAGGTCAATTTTCAAGGTCAGAGGTCAAGGTCAAAGGCAAAAAACGGCACATGTGTAGTGATCTGAAACTAACATTGGCTGGCCTTGACCCCTGACCCCTTCCTGGGCTCTTCTGAAAGACGCCCTAGAAAGAACAGAGGGAGACAAAAAAAAATTGCTGCGCGCACTCCGTCGCTCGGCGTCCTAACGGAAAAGGCCGCTTGGGCAGCGTTGCCTCGAGTCCAACATAAGTCGTATGTCGGACTTACTTACGTGCAGTTGTGGTAGCCGTTGTGGTTCAGTGCCTGCGCCCACGCTGTGAGTTGCTAAAATACATTCATGGTAGAAATCAACGCTGTTACAATATATCACCCACGTTCTAAAATCCATATATCTGCGCCTGTCGTGTGTGCGCGACATCTGGTGGCACTATGCGACCTGTAGTTCTCCCCGGCGCACCTAGGTGGCACTACCTGTCCCGTGATGAGGCACGAACTGGCGCTGGCGGAGGTGGGAGGTGACTAGGGATGACGCAACTTCCCGCTAATATAATTTGCAAGGTTCCATCGTGAAATGACCATTAGCGTTAAGGTTGCTAAGTGAGTCCGGGCTAAGCTATTAGGTTCGGTGTTTTGGCATTGGCTGGCCTCGACCCCTGACCCCTTCCTGGGCTTTTCTGAAAGACGCCAAAGTTGACCCAAGGAAGGGGTCAGGGGTCGAGGCCAGCCAATGCCAAAACACCGAACGTAATAGCTTAGCCCGGACTCACTTAGCAACCTTA